ATGATATTTTTTTCCATCATCTTTTATAAATTATCTATAAATTTGCCAAATGGAGGCCCATATTTGCCTCGATGTGAATCTTTTTTTTTTACCATACTATCAAATACGTAAAATGGGGTGGATTATAATTCGCTTATTTCATTTAAGATGTGAAATTGGAATTTATTTATTTATTTCATCCATTTTTTATAAGAACTCTGAAGGGAAGTTTCATTCTAATTCATTAGAAAATTTAATTGAATCAATCATTTTGATTGATTGTTTTTACGTAAATATTAGTAACTTTTTGATGAATTTATTAGGAGGAATAGCGATTAAAGTTCGACTTTGACTGAATTGGTATAAGTACCATTAATTTTTTAAAAATGTTTCCCAAACAAAGGCTTTATAACAGGAAATTATTAATGATCATATCTGCCAAACCCACCCAGGATAGTAGGATGGGTAGGCCTAAAAACCCTCGAGAGAGAGAATATCTTGGTTAAGTAGGTAAAAGAAAATTGGCAATTTGGTCATGGAATTTTTGGACCACTTGTTAATACCTCTTTAGTTAATTATATAGTTAGGAAGTTTTCTTATTTTTACGCTCAACCAAACATGTACTAAGAAGTTCATCACGATTCTATCAGATTGTAGTCAAAACCTTATGTGTACTCAATTCATCAATATATCGTAACCACCTAAAAATCTCAAACGTATTCAAGAATTGATGTCAAGAAATGGACCTACGATAAAGATCAATTTGTTGGTTTCTCTTTGTAAGAAATTTCTAGGAAGCTTCATTAACGTACAAAGGCCGTACATAATTTTTTGTTTATGGCGCGTTACTATCAAAGATGGAGATGGTTTGGTTAAGAGGTAATCGGGTCAAAGAATTTAGGTATCAAAGAGGTAGGTCGTGATCAATACTTAATTCTTGAATTAATAACATCTAAAATGATATAGTAATTATTTACTATAATTAAATCTTTATATATTTCTAACGAGTGTGACGGTTGTCACTGATTGTCATAGAGCATTGTTCATCACTTTTACACCAAATAACCAAATACTTTGTGAGAAAAAGTATATTATTGCAATTGATTTTATGTTAAAACCAAATGCAAGTTTCACTAAATTTTGGTTGGTTTGTTAGTTATATTGAGAATATCCAAGGCAACTGGATTTTGAGTAAATTTTGTTCCAATGACCATTGCTATGTGGTTGTCATATACTATTGTCTTGTGAGAAAAAAAAAAATAATAATAATTCTTGTGATTAATATGGGAAACTAAACCCGTGTTTGACCCTTATTTGTTATATTTCATGGGATTTAAAATTATTATCAATTTTTCAATCACACATTTCACTATTTTTTTTAATCAAAATACACTGAAATTTAATTTTTTATCCAGACCAAACATAGGTTTAAACTCAATTATTATAAATTGACTTTAGTTTAATGCTTTAGCTACACGATTTCAAGAGTCCTAAAATTCAAATTTCGAAATTCTTGTACATATTTGATAAATTTCTCTTCGGCACTTAAAGCAAGTTAGAAGAAGTGCCATTATTATTATTATTATTATTATTATTTTTAAATAATTGAAAGCAGAGTAAATTGCTAAGGGCTCATATGAGGTTTATGATAATAACAAGATACCCCCTCTCATTTTCAATTTCTCACTGATATTCCCTCCTAACATAAATTTTTCATTTTGCCCTTCTCTCCTTATGATCTATTTACAATTACAGTGTTTTTTTTTTTTTCTAAATTTTAATTTAGACAAAAATAAATTATTTTAATTTTAAAATTTCATTTGTTATCGTTTTGTACAAAGTGATTTCATCTTAATCATATTTTTGTGAATAGTGTCTTTCATTGAAAAAATGAACAAATTAAAATTAATTTAAAATATTTAATACAAAATCAACTAAAAGAAGAAATCTAGCCTATAAACTTTTAATGCTAATTTTTTGCATTAAAATACAATAACATTAATTTAGTTTTCTAATATTTATATAATGTAAATGTGAAGATTATAAAAAAAAATAAAAATTACAATACTAAATTAGCAATATAAAATATGCAATGAATTTTCAATTAGTTTTATTAAATTATTCCAAATAATTTTTTTGTTAATATTTGTCAATCATATTTGCAAAAACATAAAGATATAAAAAATAAAAAAATAAAAAATAGTATGAAATTATATATCTTAAGAAATAATAAGAAAGAAAATAAATATATACCTTTGATGACAAGGGTGATATGTTAGCAAAAGTAAACCTCATGGGAGGTTTTTGAAAATTTTAAAAATAGAGGAGAGGTCTCTGTAGTTGTCATAAAACTCGGGAAGGTTAGTACTATCCCGACTTCTCATAACTGAGTTAATTGTATTCTACGGTTATTTCACCCCAATAATAAAGGTTTGAATTTTGACCTTCATAAAAAAACCTACTACATTTGCCATGAATGTTATGCACACAAAAACTATTATATTTCTCTCAAAAGCGGGCGCCCCATTCGTTCCGTTCACAATAATCCAATTAAAACCCAATGATTTTAGAGTTCATTAGATGATATTTCTCCAAGACACAAATATAGGTGACATTTTTCAAGGGAAAATAAATTTTTACATACGAGTCCATTACCCTCACCCTTGAGATTCGTTGTCCAAAATTTACTGTTCACACAGTGAATGATTGACGCATAATTTCAAATTAACATATACTACTTTTATCTCGCGTCACTCGTGCTTAAAATTAGATGACACAAATGATGTGTTAATCATTCATTGATGGACAACAAATTGGACAGTTGATTCCCAGTAAAGCTCCAAAAGCGAAACTTCTGCGAAGGTGCCTTCTATGTGATCTTGAATACACTGTATATGTATATATACTCGCACATTAGCTCGTTACTGCATGCACACATATCTTGCTTTGGCATTGCCGGTGTTGAGTTATATATAAACTTTGTTTTCTCCTTTTAGAGAGAGAAAAATGGCTTCTACCGAACCATGGCTACTGGAGAACGGAAGCGTTCGGTGCCTGACGAAGGACATGAAGCACGGCCATGGCCACAGCCACTGCCGGACTGCGCATAACATGTCCTCTTCGTCTCTGCGCAAAAAATCGGACCTAACCCTTGTTTCCAAAGTTCGACAAGACTTTCTCCGAAATATTCTGGTTAATCTGCAAGTGGTTTTGTTGGGAACAAAGCTATCGATTTTGTTTCTGGCAATTCCTTTTGCCATCGCTGCTGAGTGTAAAAATTTTGGAAGAGTGAGCAGTTTTTTTTTTTTTTGGTTGATTACTATGTTTTCTCGTCTGTTTTACCTAGTATTCACCGTAACTTTTTCCTCGTCTGATATGCCGTGTCCATGATAAATTTATCTGAAAAATCGAAAATTTGGGTGCCATCATTTCTCTATATTTTGTTAGGGTTTTCATTTTTCAAATAGAACCAACACACGTTTCTTCTATCTTTTAATTTTTTTTTTCTGATTTAGTGTTAAATTCATATTTATTCAAACCGGGTCAAAATTAATTATCCTTTTTGAATTTTCTTGGACAAAGAATTATTACACAATTTGGCTAATGAATTAGAATATTGCTACTTGAATTGGGGCTTTTAACAGGGTTTTTGACAGTTACTATTAGCCTGTTTGGGAGGGATTTTTTACAATAAAAAATTGATTTTTTGATAGTTATTTCATTATTCCAGCCATAATTTTGACTTCTTCTTTCACAGGTGGATCTTACTTTTCTTCTAATGGTCAAAAGATCAATTTTCAAAATCCCTCCTAAACGGGGCCTATATTGGCACTACCTTCGTGGCTCTTTTTTTATTATTAAAAAACTGTTCAATAAATGTTTAACAAGTGTTCCCTATTTTTAAATCTTATCATTGAACCTGTTTGTGTAACAAAATTGAATTAATTAATCCATACTGGCATGCTTAAAAGATTATGTCAAACCGCATGTAAATTTTTCTCACGCCACAAATTTATTGCTAAAAACATAGCAGATTGAGAATCTCTTACATATAATCAGTGGTGGACCCACAGTGGATCTTGATGGGTCAAGTGACCCCCCAAGCTAAAATTGAGGTTCCCCCCTTTCAGAAATCATATTTGAAGCCTCATTATCTGGGAAGCCTTTTTTTTTTTTTTTTTGATGATTTTTTTCCCTTATAAAATGGAATTGGGGATCCACTTAAGTGCTCCAATTTCTATCTTGTTTTGGCGATTTTATGGTAATGAATTTTTGCTGTGATTTGTGTCTTTATTTGAATTGGAATGCAGTTAATAATGTAACGTTCAAAATTTGCTTTGATTTTTGTAATTTTCACTTGAATTGATTGCTTTCATTAATTGTGATAGAAAAATAATTTAAACATAAATACGTCTTTTGTTTTGATGATCACAATGTTAATGAAAGGATTATTCGAGATAAAAGTGATAAAATGATGTTAGAGATAAAAAGGATAACAAACTTGGAAATGTTCGTTATTCGAGATAAACGTAAATTTGTATTCTTTACAAATTTGATTATGCTCCACCAACTCAAAATGTTTGTATCAGTCAATTATATATATATAAAACTCGTCGATCCTTCATCACAGCATTCTTATTTTATTTTTTGAACAGTCATGGGTGTTCGCATTGAGTTTACTTGGGCTCACTCCGCTTGCTGAACGTGTCAGCTTCTTGACAGAGTAAGAGTTTTATAATTAACAATTATTCTCAAATTCAATTAATCTTTTCCAATTTTCTAATAAATAATATAATCAGGATCTTACAATTATCCTCTCATCTTTGATTCTTATTAAATTTTTGCAGGCAAATCGCTTTCTACACAGGTCCAACAGGTAATCAATCCATTTTCATACATTATTTTTTATGTGATAGTGTTAAAAATCATTCTATTTTTTTTAATCATAAAAAAGATAAAATAGGTCCAAAATCTGTACCAAAATGTTGGCAGGGAAGCTGTCCGGCTATAGTTAGGAAGTTTTCTTATTTTTACGCTCAACCAAACATGTACTAAGAAGTTCATCACGATTCTATCAGATTGTAGTCAAAACCTTATGTGTACTCAATTCATCAATATATCGTAACCACCTAAAAATCTCAAACGTATTCAAGAATTGATGTCAAGAAATGGACCTACGATAAAGATCAATTTGTTGGTTTCTCTTTGTAAGAAATTTCTAGGAAGCTTCATTAACGTACAAAAGCCGTACATAATTTTTTGTTTATGGCGCGTTACTATCAAAGATGGAGATGGTTTGGTTAAGAGGTAATCGGGTCAAAGAATTTAGGTATCAAAGAGGTAGGTCGTGATCAATACTTAATTCTTGAATTAATAACATCTAAAATGATATAGTAATTATTTACTATAATTAAATCTTTATATATTTCTAACGAGTGTGACGGTTGTCACTGATTGTCATAGAGCATTGTTCATCACTTTTACACCAAATAACCAAATACTTTGTGAGAAAAAGTATATTATTGCAATTGATTTTATGTTAAAACCAAATACAAGTTTCACTAAATTTTGGTTGGTTTGTTAGTTATATTGAGAATATCCAAGGCAACTGGATTTTGAGTAAATTTTGTTCCAATGACCATTGCTATGTGGTTGTCATATACTATTGTCTTGTGAGAAAAAAAAAAATAATAATAATTCTTGTGATTAATATGGGAAACTAAACCCGTGTTTGACCCTTATTTGTTATATTTCATGGGATTTAAAATTATTATCAATTTTTCAATCACACATTTCACTATTTTTTTTAATCAAAATACACTGAAATTTAATTTTTTATCCAGACCAAACATAGGTTTAAACTCAATTATTATAAATTGACTTTAGTTTAATGCTTTAGCTACACGATTTCAAGAGTCCTAAAATTCAAATTTCGAAATTCTTGTACATATTTGATAAATTTCTCTTCGGCACTTAAAGCAAGTTAGAAGAAGTGCCATTATTATTATTATTATTATTATTATTTTTAAATAATTGAAAGCAGAGTAAATTGCTAAGGGCTCATATGAGGTTTATGATAATAACAAGATACCCCCTCTCATTTTCAATTTCTCACTGATATTCCCTCCTAACATAAATTTTTCATTTTGCCCTTCTCTCCTTATGATCTATTTACAATTACAGTGTTTTTTTTTTTTTCTAAATTTTAATTTAGACAAAAATAAATTATTTTAATTTTAAAATTTCATTTGTTATCGTTTTGTACAAAGTGATTTCATCTTAATCATATTTTTGTGAATAGTGTCTTTCATTGAAAAAATGAACAAATTAAAATTAATTTAAAATATTTAATACAAAATCAACTAAAAGAAGAAATCTAGCCTATAAACTTTTAATGCTAATTTTTTGCATTAAAATACAATAACATTAATTTAGTTTTCTAATATTTATATAATGTAAATGTGAAGATTATAAAAAAAAATAAAAATTACAATACTAAATTAGCAATATAAAATATGCAATGAATTTTCAATTAGTTTTATTAAATTATTCCAAATAATTTTTTTGTTAATATTTGTCAATCATATTTGCAAAAACATAAAGATATAAAAAATAAAAAAATAAAAAATAGTATGAAATTATATATCTTAAGAAATAATAAGAAAGAAAATAAATATATACCTTTGATGACAAGGGTGATATGTTAGCAAAAGTAAACCTCATGGGAGGTTTTTGAAAATTTTAAAAATAGAGGAGAGGTCTCTGTAGTTGTCATAAAACTCGGGAAGGTTAGTACTATCCCGACTTCTCATAACTGAGTTAATTGTATTCTACGGTTATTTCACCCCAATAATAAAGGTTTGAATTTTGACCTTCATAAAAAAACCTACTACATTTGCCATGAATGTTATGCACACAAAAACTATTATATTTCTCTCAAAAGCGGGCGCCCCATTCGTTCCGCTCACAATAATCCAATTAAAACCCAATGATTTTAGAGTTCATTAGATGATATTTCTCCAAGACACAAATATAGATGACATTTTTCAAGGGAAAATAAATTTTTACATACGAGTCCATTACCCTCACCCCAGAGATTCGTTGTCCAAAATTTACTGTTCACACAGTGAATGATTGACGCATAATTTCAAATTAACATATACTACTTTTATCTCGCGTCACTCGTGCTTAAAATTAGATGACACAAATGATGTGTTAATCATTCATTGATGGACAACAAATTGGACAGTTGATTCCCAGTAAAGCTCCAAAAGCGAAACTTCTGCGAAGGTGCCTTCTATGTGATCTTGAATACACTGTATATGTATATATACTCGCACATTAGCTCGTTACTGCATGCACACATATCTTGCTTTGGCATTGCCGGTGTTGAGTTATATATAAACTTTGTTTTCTCCTTTTAGAGAGAGAAAAATGGCTTCTACCGAACCATGGCTACTGGAGAACGGAAGCGTTCGGTGCCTGACGAAGGACATGAAGCACGGCCATGGCCACAGCCACTGCCGGACTGCGCATAACATGTCCTCTTCGTCTCTGCGCAAAAAATCGGACCTAACCCTTGTTTCCAAAGTTCGACAAGACTTTCTCCGAAATATTCTGGTTAATCTGCAAGTGGTTTTGTTGGGAACAAAGCTATCGATTTTGTTTCTGGCAATTCCTTTTGCCATCGCTGCTGAGTGTAAAAACTTTGGAAGAGTGAGCAGTTTTTTTTTTTTTTTGTTGATTACTATGTTTTCTCGTCTGTTTTACCTAGTATTCACCGTAACTTTTTCCTCGTCTGATATGCCGTGTCCATGATAAATTTATCTGAAAAATCGAAAATTTGGGTGCCATCATTTCTCTATATTTTGTTAGGGTTTTCATTTTTCAAATAGAACCAACACACGTTTCTTCTATCTTTTAATTTTTTTTTTCTGATTTAGTGTTAAATTCATATTTATTCAAACCGGGTCAAAATTAATTATCCTTTTTGAATTTTCTTGGACAAAGAATTATTACACAATTTGGCTAATGAATTAGAATATTGCTACTTGAATTGGGGCTTTTAACAGGGTTTTTGATAGTTACTATTAGCCTGTTTGGGAAGGATTTTTTACAACAAAAAATTGATTTTTTGATAGTTATTTCATTATTTCAGCCATAATTTTGACTTCTTCTTTCACAGGTGGATCTTACTTTTCTTCTAATGGTCAAAAGATCAATTTTCAAAATCCCTCCTAAACGGGGCCTATATTGGCACTACCTTCGTGGCTCTTTTTTTATTATTAAAAAACTGTTCAATAAATGTTTAACAAGTGTTCCCTATTTTTAAATCTTATCATTGAACCTGTTTGTGTAACAAAATTGAATTAATTAATCCATACTGGCATGCTTAAAAGATTATGTCAAACCGCATGTAAATTTTTCTCACGCCACAAATTTATTGCTAAAAACATAGCAGATTGAGAATCTCTTACATATAATCAGTGGTGGACCCACAGTGGATCTTGATGGGTCAAGTGACCCCCCAAGCTAAAATTGAGGTTCCCCCTTTCAGAAATCATATTTGAAGCCTCATTATCTGGGAAGCCTTTTTTTTTTTTTTTTTTGATGATTTTTTTCCCTTATAAAATGGAATTGGGGATCCACTTAAGTGCTCCAATTTCTATCTTGTTTTGGCGATTTTATGGTAATGAATTTTTGCTGTGATTTGTGTCTTTATTTGAATTGGAATGCAGTTAATAATGTAACGTTCAAAATTTGCTTTGATTTTTGTAATTTTCACTTGAATTGATTGCTTTCATTAATTGTGATAGAAAAATAATTTAAACATAAATACGTCTTTTGTTTTGATGATCACAATGTTAATGAAAGGATTATTCGAGATAAAAGTGATAAAATGATGTTAGAGATAAAAAGGATAACAAACTTGGAAATGTTCGTTATTCGAGATAAACGTAAATTTGTATTCTTTACAAATTTGATTATGCTCCACCAACTCAAAATGTTTGTATCAGTCAATTATATATATATAAAACTCGTCGATCCTTCATCACAGCATTCTTATTTTATTTTTTGAACAGTCATGGGTGTTCGCATTGAGTTTACTTGGGCTCACTCCGCTTGCTGAACGTGTCAGCTTCTTGACAGAGTAAGAGTTTTATAATTAACAATTATTCTCAAATTCAATTAATCTTTTCCAATTTTCTAATAAATAATATAATCAGGATCTTACAATTATCCTCTCATCTTTGATTCTTATTAAATTTTTGCAGGCAAATCGCTTTCTACACAGGTCCAACAGGTAATCAATCCATTTTCATACATTATTTTTTATGTGATAGTGTTAAAAATCATTCTATTTTTTTTAATCATAAAAAAGATAAAATAGGTCCAAAATCTGTACCAAAATGTTGGCAGGGAACCTGTCCGGCATTACTTTAGTCGTATGCAAAAGCTCAGAAAAAACCACCATGATACAAAATAATGGAAGAATCATGATTTATTTTCTTAAAAAATAAAAATTAGATTAAATAGATGAGAATATGATAATGATAATCCAATACAATATAGTAGCAATGAATCGAATATAGTGGTGAAAAAAAGGGTCTAAATTCTCAAGAATAAAGCTTAATTTGTCATTTTGTTCTTTCATTACGGGTTCCAAATCCATTTTTGATCTTGTTGTGGACATGTTTTTGCAGTTGGAGGGCTTCTAAATGCTACATGTGGAAATGCTACAGAGCTGATAATATCCATACTTGCTCTTGTCCAGCACAAAGTAGATGTAGTGAAATATAGTCTACTTGGTTCCATACTTTCAAACCTTCTTTTGGTTCTTGGCACCTCTCTTTTCTGTGGTGGCATTGCAAATCTCCAAAATGAACAAAAGTTTGATAGAGTAAGACGTTTTACTTCCATTAATTACACAAATTTCTCTACTGAAAATCGAATTCTCGTATAATTATCTGTGTTTAACTGTAACAGAAACAAGCAGATGTGAACGCCCTCCTTTTGTTGTTGGGATTGCTTTGCCATGTTTTGCCCTTGATGTT